CTCATTTGGGGTTTTCTTGGCAAAGATACTGGAGTGGTTTGCCATTTCCTTCTCCAGCTAATTTTACAGAAGAGGAAACTGAGGCAAACAGGGTGAAGTGACTTACCCAGAATCACACAGCTAATAAATGTCTGAGGCTAGATTGGAACTAATCATGAAGATGAGTCTTCCTGCCTGTAGACCTGGCATTCTATCCACTGCATCACCTGACTTTTTACAGGATAGCAATTTGAAACATCCTTCAAAAAATCCCTATTTGTAATTCTCTGTAATAGTTTAACACAAAATAATTGATGTTGGGCATTCCTACATTTATCTCTACCGAGCAATACTTCTTTGAATAACATACTAATCATATCTAATGAAAAAGCCTATTAATAGGCTACAACAGTCTTAGAATGCAAGTCTCTACTGGAGGTGTGTGTGTGTGTGTGTGTGTGTGTGTGTGTGTGTGTGCGCGCGTGCACGTGTTAGGTGAGAAAGAAGAAATCCTGTAATGTTATTATAAATAAAAACGTTTACTTTTACATTTCAAAATGTGAAGGAGTTGAGTTTTGATATAACCTTCCACTATCAATAGAGGGATTGATGGAAAGTGGCAGATGGATTCTGAAAGGTATTAACTTGAAAAAAATAGAAAAACTAAAAAGATAATGATAATGGAGATGACTGCAATGTCCTGAACTGTCATGGAAAGTGCACTGAAACATTAATTTAACTTTTTATCAAGATGTTAGCCCCAGCTTTTATTTTCTGAAATAACTGACCTATCAAAAGGAAATTTATTTTTGCCTTTGTCTTTTGTATCTGTTATTTGTAGCTAAAGCTGTTATAGATGGGAGATGGAAGGAACCAGAACAATACTTGTCTTATCTTTAAAAGAATATTCTTTATTGGTTTTATTTGGAAACTCTTGCTACCTTTTGGTTACTCAGAAACTGATTCTCCAAGCCATGACTTAAAAAAATTTCCCCCATTTCCTCTCTATCTTTGAAGCAGTTTTCTGTTCATTAACACTTCTAGGAAGCTAGTGAGAGGAAACAGAGGGGAAGGCAGGTGAAAATGAAATCAGTCCACTTTGCTGCTTGTTTTCACTTCAGAGTAAGGGCTTCATGGGGGGTGGGGAAGATTGAAACTATTGGCTGAAATTAATTTCTGGATGATCTTAATATTATGTTTCTCTGTTCTTTTCCTTACCTTTAAGGCTAGAGTATTTATTGGTTACAACATACTTGAAGAGTGCCTTGACCCCTTATGTCTCATGTTATTTGAATTGTGTTGTACTTGAAGCCAATAAGAAGCATATAGTATCATAGATGCCTGTTTCATTTACTTTGTGATCCCTGATTCTTCCTTAATCTAGAGCTTCCCAGAATTCTCTGAAACCATTCTGCTTCTGCCTTTAGTTCTGAGCCTTCCCTTTGATCTGTCTCCTATCCCTGATTTCCGTGTTCCATCAACATCAAGTATCATTACCTTATGAATAGTCACCTTAAACTTTTTTTTTGCTAGACAATGGGGTTAATTAACTTGCCCAAGGTCACACAACTGGTCAGTTTCTAAGGCTAGATTTTAATTTGGGTTCTCCTGACCCCAGGCCCAGTACTCTATCCACTGAGCCAACTAGCTAGTGGAAAGAATACCACATTTGGATTTAGGCAACCTGACTTTTAATGCTGTTTCTAGAACTTACTAACTACGTAACCATGGGCAAGTCACTTAATTTTCCAATCTCAATTTCCTCATCGCTAAAATGAAAATAATAATATTTCTAGTATTTGTCCCCAGAGTTTTATGAAGAAAAATTGAATGCTATATTGTAATTACATAACTGACTGGCAAGGTTTAGAATAAAGAGTATTGATGGTAGCTGGAGGATCTGGGTTCCAATTCCAGTTATGGTACTGTATCCCATTTGAATTGTCTTAGGAAGATTCTGAAGATCACCTAGCAGGATAAGATACCAGACACTGAGGCCCTTTCTCAAACTAAACTGCCAAATATTCAAATTCTGTTATAGAGAGTGCAACTCAGATGTGCTGGCTACATTGTTTGAATGCCAAATGTACACTTGCCTAAAAGACTATTTTATGGAGAACTAACACAGGGCAAGTGCTGGCATGAGGGTCAGAAGAAGCAATACAAGGACACTGTCAAGGTCTCTCTTAAGAACTTTGGAATTGATTGTGTGACATGGGCAACACAGACATAGGACCGACCACCCAGCATGGCATGCCCTCATCAGAGAAGGTGCTGTGCTCTCTGAGCAAAGTAGAATTGAAGTAGCTCAAAAGAAACATAAAACACACAAATTTAGAGAATTCACCCCAAATGTTCCCATGGACTATTTGTGCCTGACCTGTGGTAGAACCTTCCAAGCTCATATTGGTCTGATCAGTCACAGTTGGACACATTGTAACTTGATTCTAACATAATGATGCCATTTTGATCCTTTCCCAGAACAAAGGACAACAGCCATAACCATCTATATGATCTTGGGCAAATCATATGACTTCTGTAGACTTTAATTTTTTAATCTAAAGTAAAATGAGAAGATTGGAGTAGATAATCCCTAAGAATCCTTCCAGCCCCAAATTCTTTGGTCCTGTGATGGATGTCTGTCATCTTCATCATCGTTTTTATCGTCAACCTGAATTATACATTAATTTGCTGATAATAATGGTGATGATAGAGCTGGAGCCTCAATTGTGACTTCATGTGTATAGGAAACCTCCAGGTGAAGAAATTCTCTTTAAAAATGCAAGTCAGCAGCTTTGCTGCCCTTTGTAGACTTAGAGAACAGGGAAAGGCTAGGTGATTGCTCTGGGCCACTAAGCCTAGGTGTCAGAGCTGTACTTTAAATGACATCTTCCTCATTCTATAGGGGGTAGGGAATCTATGGCCTTGAGGCCACATGTGGCCCTTTGACTAAATCCAAACTTCACAGAACAAATCCCCTTAATAAAAGATATTTTGCTTATAGCTGCAAAACTTGTTAGCATAATAATATGGATTGGTCGTGGGACAAAGGGAGAGGAATGTGCTCACTTTATGCGCTCACAATGTCAAAGGACCATGAGGAAAGCCTCCAGAAATATTAGGTGGGCTTAGAGAGAATATAGTTGAATCACACAGGATGGGCAAGTGTAAATGGATTGTCATCAACATCATTGCAGGAAATGTCCAAACTAATGAGAGCACAGATCCCTTTGAGTGTCCCTTGTGCTCTTTTTTTGTACAGAAAAATTAACGGGGGGCAGCTAGGTGGCACAGTGGATAGAGCACTGTCCCTGGAGTTAGGAGGACCTGAGTTAAAATCTGGCTTCAGATATTTAACACTTATTAGCTGCAAGACCCTGAGCAAGTCACTTAACCCCGATTGCCTCACAAAAAAAGATAAAATAACGGAAATACCTTCCCCTCACATGTTCCCATCATGCATCTCTTCATTGCCCTTTGAGTCACCCATAATTCTGATTTCTTAAGGTAGCTATTTCTAGTTATAAGCATAAATTTCATGGTAGTGCAATGAATGATGGCAGCTCAAAGGGACATATTTGTCAGCTGATGGGATCATCATATTTCAAAATATTTCACATTTAAACAGTGTCCCAAATTAGGTTATTACATTGATTTCTATATTTTTCTGATAGTAACAAATGTTTTTTTTTTCTTATGGAATAACTAATGCTTAAAATACTGCAGTAATAATCAAGTTAGTTCATCTTAATTATTACATCTAATATATCACATCCTATTTCAACTTATTTCCACAATGTTTGTGACTATATTACTATGATTAAATTTTCACTGAAGAGCAGATGATACAGAAAGTAGCGTTATGACTACAAAAACTTAACAGCATTCATTTAGACAGCAAATGAGTGTGCATATTCAATATCAATCTTGAAAATATAGGCTTCATCCTCAGCATTATTCTTGCTAACACCGTACCAGTGTAGGGATGAAGAATTGCTTGCTACCTTCAACTTCATCAGAATCTGGATTTAGAGTTAGATGGAACATTAAAGGTCATATAAGCTAGTCCACTTATTTTACAGATGAGAAAACTGAAGGTCAGGTATTAGGGGATTTCCCCCAAACTCGTGTTTGTTGGTTTTGTTTTTATTTTTAAGTAGAAACAGTAGTATTGGACCTCAGGTCTTTCAATTCTAAATCTGGTGGTCTTTTCCCTACAACATGCTGCTATCCCAGTGCCAAAAATTTAAATCCATGAAAGTGACCTGAAATCCTAAAAGATTCTTCAGGTATTTCTCATTTAAAGAAGGATTTGAAAGTAACTCTAGAAGGGACAATCCTAATGCCATCCAAACAATGGGTATTACGTTACCAATGAAAGATACAGTTTTAGTCCAAGTGTCTATTATTATCTCTTCCAAAAACAAATGATTTCTATCAAATTTCTGTGAGATTTGATTATATTAGCCTTATATGCCCTAATAGCAGATGTGATCATTTGTCCTTGCTTGTGCATGCACAGCCCTTATCCGTTTTGTTCAATGAAGAAGGGAAAAAAAAAGACCCTGAAAGTAATCATGGATGCTGTAGTGTTTAAGAATGTTAACTTTTTTTATGTAGAAAAAATATATATACTAATTAAGTATATATACTAAATAAAATATATATACTAATTAGTATATATACTAAAAATATATATATGCTAATTATATATACTATAAAATATATATACTATAAAATATATATACTATAAAATATATATACTAATTAATATATACTAAGATCTTGAGTCTTTCATAGGAAGTATATATGTAAGCCCTAGGAATAAAATGAAGTAACAATATTGTCTGCTAGGAAAACCTTTAAAGGTATAATAGGAATGAACTGAACATTAAATTTCTGACTGTGCATTAGTGTTTTCCATATTTTATCAATGTTTTTTGAGTCAATCCTTTTGTTATTTGCAGCTTTATACTCTGTTCCCCTCACTTCTTCAAAGATTACCTGATTGTCTTTCACAGATCGTTGCCTTGCGGGAACAAAATGCTCATATTCAAAGGAAAATGGCATCTGGAGAAGGGTCCACAGAGTCAGAACACTTGGAGGGGATGGAGCCTGGCCAGAAAATCCATGAAAAGGTTAGGCATTCCTTACTTATTCTTACACTGGATGTATTTCCTGCCATAGTATTTGCTATAAACATTAGCTATGAAGACTGCTTATTGCATACTTCATGGCTTCTTCTAACCAAAACCTCATGATACTTTTTTCTCTTCTTCTGTACTTAAATATAAAGATATCATGCAAATGAATTTAATTTTATTTGCATACATTAAGGGGAAAACTTTAGTCATTTATTTGCTTTCATGAAACTAAGAAAAAATAGCAGTAGAACTTGAAATTTGAAGGAAAAAATAAGCAAGACTATTTTTCATTAAAAAAGTGTTTGCCCATCAATTGAGGAATGGTTGAATAAGTTGTGGTATATGAATATAATGGAATACTACTGTGCTATAAGAAATGATGGGCAGGCAGACTTCAGAGGAACCTGGAAAGTATTCATTGTGTATCTACCATGTGTTGAAGGCAGCACAGCATAGTGAAAATGAAAAAGAAATAAATTAATTTTTAAAAAAAGAGAAAGAAAAGGAAAAATCAAACATGATAAAGAGCATTTATTTGGGTAACAATCAACATAGTGAGAAATAAAAGTGAAATGATTGTGGAAATAGACTGCATATCACCTGGACAAAAAGAAGAAAGAGAGGATGATTTGTGAAACATAACAAACTTGATTAAATTCTGGACCTGATTCTAAGCATCAGCAAAGAATTGATAACTTAAGAAGAAATCATCAGAACCTAGGGGGCACGTGACCACTTCCATTTTAGAATGTGTTGACAAAGGAGAGAAAAAAATTTGTATACTCTGTTATAGGGATAGTCAAAAGTGTCAGAGAAAAGAGAGTATGATATAGTTTCTTTTGTATATGTTATAACAGTTTATGGCTAAAATTGGCCAAAGATGAACGAGAAGCACCCAAGAATAAAGTTCTGAAGATGGAAACAGAAATAGTTTCAGTGAGGATAAAAAAAGGTGGCTTTTTCAGAAGAGATTAATATGGATACACAAGGATCTCATCAATCAATTTAAATTTTGAAAAGATGAGTATAAAAGACAATAGCTGGGACATTAGAGGATGAATTCAAAAGAACAGAGCAGTGCTAAAAGAATAGGATCAAGATATAAAATACAGAATGAACTGAGGTTGACAATAAATTTCGGGGCATTGAAAAAAGGCCTTTTTGGTTTTATTAGGGGAAGCTAAAAATCAATTAAGTCTTAACAATACTAAGTCAGCTGGATAGAATGATATTAATAGAACACAGAGAGAAAAACAGAATCACTTAACTTTTTATTTTATACCCATTATCTCTGTTAAAAGGAGGAATTTTTGTTTTTATTTTAATTTTTAAATTAAAAAGCATTTATTTTCTCTGCCTTCCACCATCCTCAAACTGAGAAATTAAAACAAAACCCCTGTCACGAATATGCATAGTCAAACAAAACAAATTCTCACAATGGGCTTGTCCAAATTTTGTGACTCATTCTACATCTCAAGTTCATCCTCTCTGGCAGGAGGTAAGCAGCATTCTCAACATGAGCCCTATGGAATCATTATTTGTCTTTGAATTGATCAGACTTTTTAGGTCTTTCAAATTTATTTATGCAATGTTGTTATCATACAAAACATTCTTCAGAAGAAAATGCTCTGCATCAGTTCATGCAAGTCTTCCCAGGTTTCTTTGTTCTATAAAAAAAATTGATGAAAGGGGATGATCTTTGGATTGGGAAGAATAGAACAAAAAAAAAGATTAATGGGGAGTTGAAATCCAAGAGAAGTGTAGTGATAATCAGAGTGCTTCTAAAACTGTTCTCAGTAAACTGAGGTATGTAGTCCCAGAACATCCATATCCTGAGATTCTTAAAGAACTGTTCTATGTGACTGGTAAAACACCATCAGTGATCTTTCAAATATTGTGGAAAATATAAGAGGTATTTCTGGAAGTAAATGTTACTGCTTTAAAAAAAAGTTTTAAATTAAAATATTAAATAAAAAATTTAAATGATGGAGAGTATCTCTAGAATTGTAAATTCTCTGAAAAAGACATTGATATAATTTGACGTCAGAAATGTAGAAATGGAAGAAAAAATACCAGAGTAAAGTGAGAGTCAGTCTGTCAAGTAGCATTTATTAAGCACCTATTATGTATCAAACACAAAGAATAGCAGTATTAGAATACTGAAATCTTAGTCAAAACAATTAGGATGGAAAACATTGTGTCAAGTCAATCTGGATGGGCGAGGGAGAAGATGGTATAAAAAAGCTTAAGTGCCATATTCAGGGAATTATACAAGACAATTACACAAAATTATTGGAAATAGGACAAAGTATAGATCAATAGAATTTACACATTGCAAGAGCTTTGGGGAGGTGTCCATGCTGTTAGAATTAGTCCAATAGGTCTGGAAAACCATTTGGAATTATGTGTAAGAAAATAAAAATCACTAAGGTTTATGCCAATTGATTCATCAACAATGAATTTATATCCCCAAAGAGGTTAGTAAAAGAAATATAGTTTTCATGTGTAGAAAACTAGCAGCAGAAGCAATATTTGCAATAACATAAAAACGTTGTCCTTAAGTTGACAAATGGATGCAAAAATTGTGATATATGAATGTAAGGGAATATTATAATATTGAATGATGAACATGAAAATTTCAGAGAAAAATGGGATGACTTCTACAAACTGATGAAGCATGAAGAAAGTAGGATTAAAAGAAAAATGAACACCTTGACTACAGTTGCCTAAGGGAAGGGCAGTGCTAAATGAAAATGGAATTTAGACAAAGTACCATGACCAAGTTTGGTTCCAGATGACTAATCACACTCCCTTTGTAAAACGCACTCTCTTCCTCTTGCAAAATGGTAAACTATAAGAGTAGAATGATTTCATGCACTATGAATCACACTTATTCTATTGTGTGGTTTGTTTTGATTGTTTCTTTTGGGGAGGAGAGGAGAGGTGCTCTATGGGCCAGAGGAGAAATTGTATATCGAATAATGGTTGTTGTCTCAAGAAAAGATGCAACAGTTTAAAGATGAAAGAAAATTATTAATACTTGAAAAACATTGTTTTAATTGAAGGTACTCATATGGAAGTAAGTTTTATTCAATCATGAATAGTTTTTAGCCTTTCTTCTCATTGTTTTGCAGAAACAATTAAAAGTAGTAATACCATGACATATATCCATTTTGGCAGAATGATTTTATGAGAAGTTTGGCTCAGAATGCTAATATTGTTTGTGAATTGAAAAGGCAGTTATTCATTTTACTTTCAGTAAATAAAATGTGACACTTTGGTACAGGTACTATGGGATGCAAAGGGGGAAAAAATGTTGTTTATTTGAGGCTTTGAAGTATTGTGAGACTATTGAGGAGGTCACTGAGTTTCCATGGGCCCAGGGTTTGGTAACTTCTTAGATTAATAATAATGCTTGCTAACTAGGTCTTTAAGTTGTTTCTGTGCTGTTGAAGGACTGTGAGTGATGTCAGCATTTGCTTGCCTTCATATTTTAGAGCAAAGTTTTGGTCATCCTTTCCAAGTTATGAACATATTTGATTTTTGCTATCAATACTTCCATGTTCTGTGTACTTAAAGATGTTGATGCATATTTGTTTCGACTATCAAAGTGAATTTAATTAAATTATGGAGAACTATACAATTTCACTGGAGATCATCAGAAATACTGTCTTAGGAATTTGGGATAGAAATACCCATCTTCAAGCCTTTATTTCTTCTTTTCTATAATTTCTTTCTACAGACTTTTCTTTAGTATTGATAGAGAGTGAACAGAAACAAATGTCCCAGAAAATATACAATTTTAATTCCTCAAAATGATCCATCAGGAAGAGACCATGGGAAATATTTTGATTTCTTTGATCCAACAACAGTCACTTTGTGCCAGAGTTGTCTTTTAAAACCGATGTGGGAATTCAGTGTCAGGCACAAAGACAATGAGTAAAACAGTCATGGGGGGAGGAAGAAAATGTTTCTGAGTCCATCCATCCCCCTCCCAATTCCTGCAAATAAAGGTTAGTGTGTAGGAGGATGTTGGCATTTGTGTGCACATTGAAAAGTGACTCTTAGAGAAACTGTTGTTGGATATTATGGAATTGTTAAGAAAGTGAGTTTGAATTCCCTAATCACAAGCATTAGCCTTTGGTTGGGACAGTGAAGTCACTTAAATTATACAGTGAGGCAGGATTATTTGCTTGTAGGGGATATTTTGTGTCAGTGGCTTGAGAACTCTGGTTATAAAAATAATCTTATGAGAACACACTTTGAAATAGTGAATGATTATCATTATACAAAACAAAACATGATTAATACCAAAATGAGGGAGGAGGCAAATACCTCAAAACATAAGAAGGAAATCTTTCAAATGTCTTAAATTTTATATATATATATATATATATATATATGTATATATGTATGTATATATGTGTGTGTGTGTATGTGTGTATATATAATATGTATACATATGTATCTTAACCTGTCATCATGAATTTATGGTTAAAATACTCTGGTAATTATATTTCAATAAAATTGGTTTTCTTTTAAATCCTATGTGCTTTATTTTATGCATTTTAGAAATATTGTTTTTATGCAAATATATATAATTTCTGTTACATATAAACATATAATTTCCATTATATAAATATATAATTTCTGTTATATATAAATTTATAATTTTATTATATATGATGTATAATTTTCATTATATATATAAATATTCTGCATTTTAGAAATATCATTCTGAGAAGGGGTTCACCAGACCAACCAAACTTTCATCAGACTCACAAAGGGGTCTATCAGTAAATATATCTGTGTGTGTGTGTGTGTGTGTGTGTGTGTGTGTGTGTGTATGTATGTTTTGGGGCCCTTGTTCTAGAAGAATGTATAAAAGTTCATGTACTTGAAAGAATTATTTTTACCACTGCAGAAATATGAGTATGCCAGGGTAAGAAAATACAGATAATGTACTAAGACAAATTTTCTTTAATTCAATGTAC